ATTGCCACACTAAAAAGAAAAAAAAAATGTGAACTAGAGATTCTAATTCAAGGAGGCATGCTTTTAATTACAGTGAGCACTAAGACTTGGTGGAATGTGATGCATAACTGGTATATTTCTTAACAATAATAATAAAAACCAACATTTTATAACACTATGTGCCAGACACTGTGCTAAGCATCTTATAATTACTATCTTCTTTGATCATCACAACAATCCTAGCAGTTAAGTGCTGTTATCATCCTATTTTACAGATAAAGAAACTAAGGCAAACAGAAATTTGTCTTGCCCAGGATCACACAAGTAGTATCTGAGGATTGATTTGAACTCAGGTTTTCTTGACTCCAGGTCCACTGCTCTAACTTTAATCAGAAGAAACAAAATAAACAGAAAATTGGAATAGGTGGGAGGAGGAAAAGAAAGAAGCATTATATTTTTAGAAGCTATACTTGTATTGGGAAATCCAAAAACCAAACATGATCAGGAGCCTTTAAGTGAAGAGATAGAAATGATATTGTTATCATGTTATAATATAGTTTACCTGAAGAGAGAGCAGAATAGATGAAGATTTGGGAAAATAGATCACAAGCCTGGCACAGAGATAGGAGAAAATAGTGATAGCGAAGTCCAGTGACCTGCTGAAGTCTCCTCTCTGGACAAAACCAGACAGGTAATATTTTCCTGACTTTCTTTCATGATTATTACATCCTTCAAAAAGTAGAAGAAGCAATGAGAGTTTATAAATTATTTTCTTTATGACAACCTAAATAAATGGTGAAACAGATATGCTTTGCATTTGACAAGTAAGAATCTGTCAGAGATGTGAATAACTTGCCAAGTGGCCATAAAACTATTGTCAGATCTAGGATTTATTTGAACTTAGTTTTCCTTACTCTAAGTACAGATACATTAAACTCTGGCTTAGAATTATAAATTGAGGGGCAGCTAGGTGGCGCAGTGGATAGAGCACTGGCCCTGAAGTCAGGAGTTCAAATCCCGCCTCAGACCAAACACTTGACACTTACTAGCTGTGTGACCTTGGGCAAGTCACTTAACCCCGCTTGCCTCACTAAAAAAAAAAAAAAACGAATTATAAATTGAAATTATAAACCTAACTCTGAATTTCAAAAAAATCTTAAACACTTTATGCATAGACATAACATTATAAGCAATTAGAAGTTTGGGTGAATTAATGCAGGTGCATTTGAATTCAAGACAGAACCAGGGATCAAAGTTAAAATCAGGTTCTTCTATCCATAATTACATGTCTCCAAATAAGAATCAGAGGAATGTATATATTTGGGAGCTTACAGTATAGTAATTTTTCAGTAAATTTATTTTGGTGAATGGATGAGATAAAGACTATGATGGGGAAGCAATTACCTTACAGACAACTTAGCACTAAGAGTTAAAATCAAAAATCAAGAGATTGAAGGTTTTTCTTTGGGGGAGGGGAGCATGATTTTACTTCAAATATCTTAGTTATTTACTAATACTTCTTTCCTTCTCCCTCCTATTTTAACATCTACCATGGAATTTTCCAAAGATGGGCAAAACTCTAGGCATGAGGACGTCTATCTCCCCTGGTTGCTGTTTCGCAAATCAAAATGTTTTATTGCTTTAGGACACTTTCTTAACAAATAAGAATTGTGATAGAAAGAAAGGAATTCTTATTTCACTAGTAAGAACACCTGAAATTATGTAATTTGAGGGCTTATAAGTCTGAAATGTCTGTGTGTTTGGGTTACTTTCATTATATCTGGTTGATTATCTATGGGTGACCTATCCTTCTTTCATATTTACTGGATCCATGGCTGGATAATGCTAAAAACAAAATGTACTGCATCTGTATTCCCACCGTATTCCATCTTGTATTCTTTTCCAAACTAGAAACATAATTTCCCAGTAAGAGGAGCAATATCCTGTCTGAAATAGTATCAAGACAGGTATCACATTAGCATTAGTAATAAATTTGTGTTTGCTGTGCTAGGTATACCATCTTTGAACCTTTCCTTCGAGGGCCCCTGGATCTGATCACCCTTAGGCTTTTATCAGACTGAACAGGAAAACATTTCTACACATCCGTATAAAATCTTGCAAGATTCCCAGGAAGTTGTTAAAATGCTGGGTGCAGGACAGTGGCTGTATAAATTCCCAGACCGGAAATATGTCACTAGCTCAGAGAGACAGATAAAGTATTTATTATCTAAATACAGATGTTATAGAGTAAACATAATGGTTTCAACTATTTCTTCTTGAAAAAGGAAACATTATTAATACAATATGCAGATATAGCTTCTTTTTAATCATTCACATCATTGCTCTGTAAAACATACATTCATAAGACAGGGAAAAATTTTTATCAGTATTTATTCATATATATAAACTAAGAAAATAAATGTTGATAGTGTGGTTTCATGCATTTTTATGTTGTATAATTTTCTGATGACTACCAAATGCATCACACATACATAGAGAATGTTTCATTTAATATGATGGGTTCAGTTTGGGAAAATCAGACATATTTTACATGATAGATTTTTTTTCATAGGCATAGTCATAAAACATTTCAGAAAATCAGGTAACTTTAGAGTGGGAAGCAATTTCAGAAACCTTCTACTCCAATCAAATAATAGGTTCATAAACTTAGAATGTAAGAGGTCAAACAGGGACTCTAGTCCTAAAGAAACTAAGGCCAATGAGAAAGAAAACCTCAAAGTTGTATCAACTTAAGAAGTACATTTTTTTTAATCATGGAGAAAGCAAAGGAAATAAAGCTAATGGGATAATTTTTTTATTTCAAAGTAAAATGACATCAGCTTGTAATGATTTATATTTAAATTGATTTTGAACAGCTAGGAGACATTGTAATAAATTATAATAAAACTTTTTTTCAATGATTGTATCAACAATAGCATCTGCTCCTTCTAGTATTGTGTTTCACAGTCAGCACATGGCAAAGCTGTGGTTCTAACTTCTGTTTCTCTGCCACATCCACACTTCTCTTTGTCCGATCCTGCTTTTTTGTTTTTTTTACCTGACATCCCCACTAGAGAATGATTCCGGAAAGTAGACAGAACTCTAGATTTGGGGTTGGAAGGAAGCATTTATGAAAGGCCTCCCATGTGCCAGACATTGTACTAAGCACTTTACAATTATTATCTCTTTAGAGCTTCACAACAGCTCTGGAAGGTAGGTGCTATTATTATCCCCATTTTACAGATGAGAAAACTGAGACAGATGGCAGTTAAGTGATTCATCCAGGGCCCCAGAGCTAGTAAGTGTCTGAGGCTGGATTTGAACTCTGGTTTTCCTTACCCCAGTCCCAGTGTTCTTCTATCTACTGTGCCACTAGGCTGCTTAAGATTTGCGCAACCTTGATGACATAATGATTCTATGCCTTTTTCGGAAAAAAATGAGGTTGTATTAAGAAATTTCTAAGGACCCTTCCAAGGTCCAGCTTTAAATCCTATTATTTCTTTTTTATTAAATATTTGATGATAGCTATCAAGTCCCCAGCACCATTACCAAGTATCCATTTGCTAAGAAAGACAAATCCAGTATCTTCAACTGATCTTGGCATAACACATTAAAAAATGAAAATAAAAAAATATGGTAGATAATTACTTCTCTTAAACCATGGATAAGATATCTCTTGCTTTTGATGATATACCAACAATCAAACATTTTTTGAAAATCTGCAAAATAAGTTCATTGTCACAAAGTGTTTATTGTATATAATATGGTATTTCTTTAAAAAATGGAAATTTCACTAGAAATGTCCCACTTAACTCATAATAGCTCATTATAAACACTTTGGTTTTACATAGCATTTTCCTTACAACTCCATGTAGTGGGCACTAGAAATATTATCATCCTTATTTTTTAGGTAAAGAAACTGAGGCTTAGAGAGGCAAAGTGAATGGCCCATAATCATACAAGTAGTAAGTGTCAGAGCTGAGATTTGACCCCAGGTTTTTGATAACTGAGTGTCCACTGCTCTATCTAAGTGGTATAGTGTTTTTTTTTTCTATTTTCAGTTTGGAAGTAGTCCTCATATGAACTAATTTCATAGCAATTTTAAAATAATGAATTTCATTTGATTCTTGCACCAATCCTAAAAGCAAGGCAGGGGCAATAATGTGATCCTCATATTTAAGATGAGGGATTGAAGCTTGGAATGGCCAAGTGACTTATCTAAGACTATACTGATAATAAAGCCAAGAGGAGGGAAGGCAGTCCTAGAACTATGGATTTTGGCTCCTATTTAAACATATTTTAAAAATTTCTACCTAATGACATAGCATTTTACACAAGAGTAAATATAAAGGAATTCCATACTTCTGTCCATACTACTATCCTCGGATCTTTTCTATACTATTGGCCTGAGTCAAAGAAAAGGCAAAAGTAAAGACAAGAGAACAATAATGGGAAAGTCTGTTATAAGATGAAACACACCCAAGGAAAAACAACCTATTCACTATAAGAAATCAGCCAGTCAACTCCTTAACAAGCATTCATTAAGTTCTCAACTTGTGTCAGACACTGCACTAGAGAATGGAAAGGCAACAGAGACTATCGCCTCAACTCATTGGTCATACATATTCTCCCCCAAATTCTACTTTTACTCTTCTTTAGTAAAAATACACAATGAATGAGATAAAGAAGGAATGGTTGATGAGAATTTTGTTAAGAGCAAAGTCTAAAGGACTTTTGGTTTTTTGTTTGTTTTTTCCTTTGAGTTGCTTTGCCACTGACTGGCTTTGAGATCGTGGGGTGTCTCTTAATCTCTCTGGACCTCAGTTTCCTCAACTGAGAGGTTTAGTCTAGAAGGACTTTACATTTTTACCCAGCTCTATAGCTTGTGATGCTTAGATTCTATAACAGGCCCACCAAAATCCATTCCTATTTATATCATGTTATATAGCAAATCCTTAGTGTTAACAGTAAAGAATAATATTTAAAATATTTGGCACTAGCAAAGGGATTTGTGTGCTCACCTGCCACAGCAGCATCCAATTCATCTTCCTCCACAGATTCCTGAGGAGAGATGCCTCTCAAAGGAGAGAGTGGGTAGGAGGTATTAAGGTTCAAACCCAGCATGAAGTTATGTACTTTCCCAGCACGTCCCTCTCGAGTGTTGAATAGGGTAGAATCACTCACCAAGGCCATTAGCATCCTTTGCACCCAACTTGCTTGGTTATTATTTTGATATTCCTTTTCAGCATCTGTATTTTCAGTGCCTGCATACAAAAATATGCAAAATCAAGATGAAGACACTAGAAATCAACAAAAGCAACCTAAACTGGTGAAAACTACCTATAATATTTAATGTTGGTCAAGTCAATTCAAAAGCTAAACATTAAACATTATGATTTCTGTTTTTTTAATTTTCTTATGATTTGGAGTATAAAGCAAATGAGCTCACTTACATAAATAAATTGAGTAAATATTTAATTTATATTCCCCCCGAAAAATAGTCCTGGTTTATTTTCCAATTCAAAACCACAACTGGGGCTTTTTCTCAAAGGACCAAAACCTGGGGAGGGGGAGAGACTTCCTCCCTACAGTGTTTCTCTGAGTCACCATCTTTTGTATCTTATAGTCAGCCCCATTTTACAGTACATGATGCCACAAGAGTTCCACCTTCTTCCCCTCTCCTTTTCTTTTCCTATCAATGCCAGCCCAATTCCTCTCAGTAATCTACTGTCCTCTGTGTTACCCCTCTCTCTCACTGAATTTGCCCTAGGTGCCTGTATTACTAATTGTGGTATACAGATATATAGATATAGATATGGATATAGATAGATAGATAGGCAGATAGATAGATAGACAGATTTCATATTCACAAAGAATAGCTGACTGAGAAAAGGAAATTTTGCAGGGCAGATGGAAGAAATGCAACCAAGATGAAAATGTTAATGGAGATAACTTTCATGATTTTCTACTCCTACAGCACCTCTATGATTTGAGAGATGCTAAATGTCATGTAGAAAACTTTCCAGGTCAGGCTTAAAAGTTTACCATTCAAGCCTTAGGCTAGACAGGATATGGAATATGACCCACAGTAATTTTCCTGAAGGGTTGGGTCCTGTTTGTTTAATCATTACCACTGCTCGTGGTCCTTCCCATTACATTTGATATACACAACACTGAAGGGAGAAACCCATTAGTCAGAAGATAAATCATTATTTATTTTCATCATCATTGTAGCAATCTTAGATTGTAAAGTGCTTTTTCTTCTCTTTTTAGTTTTGAACTAATCCTCAGATGAACTAGTTTCGTAGCAATTTCACAATGATGAATTTCATTTGAAATTCCCATAAGCAGATCGTCATATTTAAGATGACGCATTTGAAGCTTAGGGAGACCAAGTGATTTGTCCAAGACCATACTGATAGTAAAGCTAAGCAGGGGAAAGATAGCCTTGAACTCTGGTCTTTTGGCTCTTATTCAAACACATTTCTAAAATTTCTACCTGATGACATAGCGTTTTATAGATAAGTATGTAACATATTAGTAAATATTTTTAAAGCATCTAAGTAAATAAGAAAAACATAGATTCTTCCAAAGTCTAAACCTATGGCCTCACGGCCACATGTGGCCCTCTAGTCCTCAAGTGCCGCCCTTTGACTGAGACCAAGCTTTACAGAACAAATCCCCTTAATAAAAGGATTTGTTCTATAAAACTTGGCCTGAAGGCCACAACTTCCCCACCCCTATCTGAACTATCTCTGTGTTTAATTCTGGCCAAAGAATTAGTGAGTGTCCCAAAAACACAGAATATCACATTTGTAAGGAATCTCAAAGACCATCAAAGAAAGGGAAGTCCAACCCAAACTTGAATATGCAACTCTTCTCCAACAACCCCCCAAGGTATTCATTCTGCCTTTCCTTTAAGATGTCAAGTGAGAAAGGCCCATTACTTCCTGGGGTAGCCTTCTCTACTTCTGAATAGTCTGAATTATTAGGAAACTTCCTTACAAAAAAGCCAAAATTTGACTCTTTGTGCCTTGCACACATTGCTCCTGATTTTGCTTCCTGGAGCCCCTTAGAATAAAGCTATCTCTTCTCCAAGAAACCCTCCCAAATATTTGAAGAAAGGCTACTATCACGCTCTTCATCAAATGTCTCTGCTCTGGGTTAATCAAATCCTTTCAGTTTTTCCTCCCTTTACATGATCTCAAGGTCCTTTACTGTTCTAGTTGCCCTTTTTTACATGTTCTCCCATTTCTCAATGACCTTCATATAATGTAGTGCCCATGACACAACATAATAGTTTAGATGTTGTCTGATCAGGGCAGAATACAGTAGGATTATCACCTCCCTAGACCCAAACAACATGCCTCTCTTAATGAAGCCTGGGTTTCAGTACTTACTGGGAATGCATGGTGTTACAGCCCAAGTCTATTAAGAAACTGTAAATCCTCAAGAAAAAGAAATAGGAGAGTCTTTTAGGGGTTAGCAATCAGATTTTAAGTGATCTTCAATTTTAGCCTTTCTTTGGGCCCAATTTTCTTTCAACTTTTATATAACCACTGAAGTTTTTTGAGAGGTTGATGGTGAGTTGAATCAGGTCTAAGCAAAGATTTATGAAACTGAACTGTGTAGTATTTCTTTGATACACACTTTAGTACAACTGAAACATTTGCCATTTTTTGTCCACTTTCTTGGAATTATCAGAAAGGCTCACTTCCATTACTTCAATGTTCTGTTTATTTATAACCAATGGAGGCCCAAATGGAAGGGTTGAGGGACAAGACAGTTACAGAATAAAGGGAAGAATAAGCCCCCCTATTACTGTCAAATCTTTATAGAGGAAGATTTCTTACCTTTGGGCTCCTGCGATTCATCATCACTGTCTGAACTATCATTACTCACAATATGTTTTGCTGTGATATTTTCTGTGGAAAGCAAATAAAATAATTATGACTTGTGATTCCCAATATTAATCTGACCAATTTAATATATTTTAATTATCTGTCTAGCATTAAGGGAAAACAGTTCAGCAAGGCAACAACTGAATCTATTTAAACATATTTTTTTGAATCATGCTAAGTCATGTCCTTATTCCAAGAAGTTCTCTGTTATTCCTGAAAAAAATGATATATCATTTTCATTTTTTTCACTAATCCACCTTGCTTTGGTAATTTAAAAGAAGACAAGATAACTTAAGGTGAATATATGAGAAGTAAAAGAGAAATCTAAAAAGACCTACATGTCATTCTTCTTAAGAATGTGAAAAAATACTGATGTAAGATATCATTTTATTTTCTGAAGTAACTTGTACCACAATGAAATGCACCCTTACAAGGCATGAACTTTCAATTCCATCCAAATACAGTGAGCAAATAGAGCTGTAGTTATGCTAGAGCATTTAGGCTAAGACAGATCCTATCAATCTGGAAAAGGTTTGGAATAGAGGATACAAAAAAGGAAAGGACAAAATGCCATGCCCTGGGTTCTTTCTCTAAATGGAAAGTCCCTCAAAAATAAAATGTGAAAATGTTCTTAACTACCTTCACTGCTGTGGGAAACTTCCAGTTTTCTCTGACCCTGACTTCGAAATTATTTTCCTTGTAATTACTTTTAGTCAAGAGAGCAATATAGCATAGAGTACAGAGGGCCAGCTTTATAGTTATGAAACGAATTAAAAAACTTTCTTTGACATAGATTGACTTCATGTACACAGTCAAGTAGGGGGATACTCACTGAAATCACAGGTCTGGACGCACCCATCTCTCCTACCCTCAAATTAATGCAAGAGAATACTGGTTTGTCTGTTTGTGTGTTAATGTGTGTGTTTTTAAATGTAATAGCATGGATGGTATTTTCAGCATTTGAACCCAGGGATGTTCTAAGAGGTACTGTTTCTACATCCCACAGGCCTCTGTGTTTATATTTGGCCATTTCCCAGTAGGCACCAGGTATGAGAGCACATAGCCCTAAGCAATCACTAAGTCAATGAATATACCTACAGAAAGTTGCCAGGATTCCTAGGTAGTTACTTAATGAGCCAAAACCAAAAAAATCAGATGCATTCAGGGATTATCTTATAATTGCAGGCCATATAGACTTAAATCTCCTATTTTCAATTTTGAACTGGTCTTCATAATCACTGTAATGTCACTACAGCTAAATATGGAAAATGGACAAATAATATGATTATTAATACCTAATTACAGTGATCCAAGGAGGAAAAAAATGATTATAATATTTTCTTCTCACGTTGCCATATTTACATGCTTAGAAGGGCATTTTGTTGTTTTCTCATTCTTACCCTCTCAATAGGGATGGTAGAAACTTCACTTGTGATTTTCATATATATAAGGAACACCCAGATAAGGTAACTATATTTACCCATACAGGTCACCACCTTTTTTTGGATATTACAGTTTTGAAGAGTTTCTGAGAGCTTTGAGAACTTAAGTACTTATCCAGGGTAACACAGACAATATTTATCAAAAACAGAACTTGAACTCAGGTCTTCCAAGTTTCATGTCTGGCTCTCTATTTACCATGCCATGCTGCTTTTGATATATTACTTTTTTTTCACATTCCACACTTTGATTTAAAAGGCTACTTCCTTGAATATTATCCTTGCTATATGAGGATATTTTCAATGTCTTTCTAGTACATATCTGTGCCTAAAACTTCTGTTTATCCAGGGTTTGTTGCAGGTTCAAACTTTTGGCAGCTCATATTCACAGACTCAGATTTGGAGGTGGAATGCATCTTTAAGTCAATTAGTCTAATGCTCTCATTTTACAGGTGAGGAAACTGAGATCCAAAGATATGGTATAAATTTCCCAAGATTATATGAATATTAAATAATCAAGCCATGATTTAATCCCAGTCTTCTGACTGTAGACCAGCACTCTTTCAAATACAACAATTTGCTTCATGTCTGTTTTCTATTAAAGAAGAAGTAAGTTGAAGCTACCCAAACATTAGTACAAAAAAGTTTATATGAATTGTTGTCTTAAGAAACACTTGGGAGAAAAAAAACCTAAAAATACTTAGGGCCTTCTGAAGTGATAAAAAGTAAAAACTAAACTATTGCTAGAAAATCAACTCTCAGTGACCTCTGTGTTTTAATTCTGGGCAACTCCCTCATCTCAGCCCACCTGGAGGCCCTAAACCTAAATGATTTCCTGAAAGTCTGCTGCACAGATTTTCAGAAAGATTACATAGAAGCTGCCAAATCTCTAACCACAAACCAGGATGGATATCTCATAATAAGAGTATTTTTCTACCTATTTTGTTATAAAAGTCCTGTTTTCTTGGTGATATACCTTTGTCCCAAGCACCTTTCAACATTTTATTTCAGCTCCATCCCTTCCCTGATCAACACAAAAATAAATTCAGAACTTATCAGGATTGTTTGAAGAGAAACATTTCTTTTCACATAAAATGATAATGATGGCATTCTCTTTCCCTCTTAGGACACTGACTGAAAAAAATGACATAATTTTATAAAACTGTGCCAAGTAGATATAAGGAATCAGATATACCTTCTATTTTAAAGATTTGGTTATAATCAATTTATCACTGTTCCTTATGTCTTCCAGTTTTGTTTGAGAGATTACTCTATTTTTAAACTACCATCCTGAGACTAATGTGTGATATCAGTGCATCTAGCTTAAGTGCTTATCGCCTCAGTCATCCATATAGAAGAGGGCATGGTACAAGTTGCTCTTGTTTAGTCATTTTTCAGTCATGCAAAACTCTTCATGACTCCATTTGGAGTTTTCATGACAAAGATACTAGAGAAATATACTATTTCCTTCTTCAGCTCATTTTACAAATGAGGAAACTGAGGCAAACAGGGTTGAGTGACTTGCCCAGGGTCACACGGCTAGTGTTTGAGTTCAGGTTTGAACTCAAGAAGATGTGTTCCTAAGTGACTCAATGAATAGATTGCCAAGCCTAAGTCAAGAAGACTCATCTTGAGTTCAAATCCAATCTCAGACGCTTCCTAGCTATGTTACCCTGGGTAAGTCATTTGACATTGTTTGCCTCAGTTTCCTCATCTGTAAAATGAGCTGAAGAAGGAAATGGAAAACCATCCCAGTATCTTTGCCAAGAAAATCCAAAATAGTTGAACATGACTAAAACGATTGAATAACAATTCTCTCATTGATTCTGCCCTCACCCACTAGGAGAAAAAAATAAAAATCTCCTCTCTCCATTGGTATCTGACTTTCTCTGCCTCATTCCCACTCTGAGCCTTCATAAGTAAACAAATTCATGGTAGATGGCCTTCATAGTACAAGTACTCATGATGAAACATCATTTTAAAAAAACCTTCAGGTTTAGATTTTTATCTTCAAAGTTAACAAAATTATAAAATAACTTTAATATTATGAAAAGAGAATTTCCTATGGCCACAAATGATAATCTTATTCCTAGAGAAAATGTCAAGGATTTTAGAAATTTATATAACTAAAAGGATAATTCAAAAGATCTGTTATCAAAAATTAATTCTATATTCATAAAGGGGGCTATAAGGAAATTCACCAGGGATCCTAAGTAATGCTTAATTTTAAGATTGATCATGAAGCCAGATACTTAGGAAATCCTATTATAGCAATGGTGGCAATAATAAGTTTTCCTTAATTTCCTTCATTTTAGGGCAAAAATAAATAATTTCAATCTTTTATTTTTCTCCATTCCTCTCTGTGTCAGTGTGTCTTGCGTGAGATTTGGGCTTCATGAACATTCCACAAGGACTCTGCTGTTAGGTCACAGTCCTCATTCACTGCTATACCAATGCTCCATTACTGATTTGATAAACAATCCAAATTCAGCTTTCCACACATTTTTATGCCCAGTCAAGTCATCTTGGTTTTGTGGGAGAAGCAAAACTCATTAACTGTCAAAATAAAGATGGTGATGGGGTAAAATTCTGCAGTGGCAATCAACTTTTTAAAATATCAGACATATATTCTACACTTCCAGCAATGAAAACTGTAGGGTCACAAAGACTGAAGAATAGAAATTCTTGAAGTCTATTTTTTTCAATTTACTTATTAAGAGTAGCCTATTTATTGTTTTAATCTCTCATCCACAAGGAAGCAATTCATTCTATAGATGTGGCTCACAATACCTCATCTTTATTTAGGTTCTTCTCTGTGGAATGACTGGTAACTACAGACATTAGGCACAAAACTCAACTCACAGAGTTTGGAAAGATGAGTGCTTTAGGGATAAACATGAAGTCAAGAAACGTCACTATTGAAATTTAGTTATCAATCTGTTCTCAATGCTATACTATGTTAAAAAAAAAAAAAAACACTGAAAAGGCCTATGGCCATGGGTGGAGAACCTGCAGCTTCAAGACCATTTGTAGCCTTCTAGGTCTTCAAGTGTAGCCCTTTGGCCACAGGTTCCCCACACCTGCCTATGGCTATTTGATAAAAAGTCTAAATAGAAGGTAAGCTGAGAGAGGGAAAGAATATTTTGTTTCTCTCTTCCTTTCCTCTGTGCCTTAAATATAGCAGGTATTAATAAAGGTTTGTTGAATTGGAACTGAATTCATAGGACCAGAGGCACTTTGAAGAGACCCCAGAGACCTCTTATTTTATAGATAAAGATAGTAAAATGCAGGGAAGTTAAGGGATTTGGCCACAGTCATCTAGGAAGAGAACATCAGAGATGAGATTTGAACCCTGGCAGGCCCTCTGACTCCCTAAAGTATACAGCCAGAGGTATTTCCAATTAATCATGGTGGGACAGCTACAGACACCTAAAATAAGTATAGGGCCTTTTGAGAAGATCATAGGTATCTAAGGACATCTAAATGTGTTTAATATGGTATTTAAAAAAAAAAAAGAAGAAATAAAGAAAAAGATGTAGAACTTGAAAAGGACTTTAGCATTTGAAGAAATATACAGAAAAAAAATAGCTACCATATATATATATAGCACTTTAAGGTTTAAAAAATACTTTACATATGTTAACTCATTTGATTCTCACAACAAACCTGTAAGATAGGTGCTACTGTTTCCTTTTTACAGATGACAGAATAGATTGAGAGAAGTTAAGTGATTTGCCCAGAGTCACATAGTTTTTAAGTGTCTGAAGCTGGATGTGAACTCAGGACTTTCTGACCCTAAGTGCTATCCCCTGTCTACTGTAGCACCGAGCTAAGAAACTCAGGTAAGATTTAGAAGAAAAAAACTGAAGCTTATTCACAGAGCTCATTAATTATTGTTTTATGAGTTTTCACATTTTTATGTAATAGATTCCATAAAGTCAAATCAATCTGAATGTTTAAATGAAGATGTACACTGATTCTACCTAATTACTGAGAACTTAGAGATAGCATTATGGTAGAGTAGAAAGAGTACTGCATTTGGTTTCAAAGGACCTAAGTTTAAATTCTAAATCTGATGCTTACTACCTTTTTGAATCTTGACAAGTCACTTAAACTTCCTGGTCCTCAGTTGCCTCATCGAGGCCTCTAAGGTCCCATACTGATCTACAATTTTAGGAAATTTAAAAAAAAAAAATCAACATTTGAGTTTTCAATTTCTGGAATTTATCTTAATAAATTATATATATATATACATATAAGTATTTTCTTTCTTTTCAAATTACCTAATTCTTCTTCCATGGTCGATCCTTTATTTTGGGAAGCAGAAACTCCCAGGACTCTATTGAACAGTATAGAAAATGCACTACCCCAAACACCTAAAAAAAAAAAGAGAGAGACAGAGAGAGAGAAAAATAAAAGCTGAGAAAAAGCCAAATCTAAACGAACCAAATAATCCTGAATTACCAGGCCCTGATTACATACCCATTAAGAAGTGTAGGGGGTTTTCTTCATATTTTTTTACAACTGTGCCCATAAAAAATTTGCTTCCAAACAAGTCAGGAGCCATAAATGTACCATATTTAGCCATCCCAATCTCATATGGACTGAATTCCACCCAATCTAAAAGAAACAAAAAATTAGTTAATAGTTAATTTCAAAACAAAGGTACATACAGATCATGTCTGTAATTTTATAGTCGTTAGTCTTTTTCCAAGACTCCCTCCATAATCCAAAAATCTGAGTAAAAGCAATGAGATATAGTGTAAGTAGTCCTGGGTTTGGAGCCAGGATGCCTAGGTTGACATCCTGGACTTGACATTATCTCTGTGATCTTGGACAACTTAACCTCTTTGTGCCTCAGTTTCCTCATCTGTAAAGTTTGAAGAGTTCAGGATGAGAGCAAAGTTATACTACTGGGTGACTGGAAGGATGGTGGTGTCCTCAAGAGCAAAAAGTAATTTTGACAAAGGGGTAGGGTTGGGGGGTGGGGAAAGATAATGAATTCTGTTTTGGACACGTCAATTTTGAGATATCTATGGGGCACCCGATTTTTCAAATATCCAATAGTTATCAATTAGTCTTGATAGTTTCTCGTGTGGGACTAGAACTCAGGAGAGATTACAAATACATATGCATTATCTTTTCCAAGAAAACCCCAAGGATAGCATCTGGGAGTCTTCTGCATAGATACAACTAAATCCCTGGAAGTTGATGAGACACAATGAGAAAGAATATAGAAATAAAAGAGAAGAAAGTCCAAGATAATGGAGTGGTTTTCCATTTCCTTTTCCACTGGATTAAGACCATCAGAGGTTAAGTGACTTGCCCAAGTTCACACAGTTAGTAAATGTCTGAGGCCAGATTTAAACTCAAGTCTTCCTAACTGCAGGCCCAGTGCTCCATCCACTAGCATAATAGGCATTTAATAAATACTTGATGACTTGACTTGATCAGGAGTCGATAGATAATAACCACCAGAATATGGATTAGGTAATAAATATAAATAATAATAGCAATCCATTATTCCAATGGACCTTTGATTTCATCAATTTGGGTACCACCTCCACCAATACAGACCACAACTCATCCATGCCTGTTTGTCCTGTGTGACTCTTTTCCATATCCGCTCACAAAGTATCTACTACATTTCTATCTAGCATCCTAAAAGACTTCCTTTACTTCATTTGGCATTAAATAGATACTAATTTAGCAAAGGGGCTCCAACTGTACTGAGTGTTTTATCCCCATCTGAGACCTTAAGTCTAAGAGGGCAAGGGCCATGTCTCATTTCAACTTTGTACCTATCTTAGTCCTTGGAAGAGTGTTCTATACACAGAGGGCACTTAAATATTTTTGGATGAATGAATGAATGTGGAAATTGTTCCTCATACATGTATTGATTTGCCACTTGTATAAGTACTTCTGACAGACCTTGCCCTTCTAATGGGTGAGCAGCTGGAACAATTAATTGATTGCTCTAACATAACTTATCTCTTACAAATGGTGAATGGCATTGGTTAAAAGTAAAAGATCCAAAATGACTATTTAAAAAGGTTGACAATATGTCTTACATTGTATATCTTTAAGATTTTGAAGAGCCTTAGAGGGATGCTGAACATTTTTCCCACTTATTTCATACAAAAACAGGAAGTTTGTGGATTATGAATTGCCTTGTGGCCTGCTCATTTTCAAATATTCTCAAATAGACATTTTAAACATTGAGAAAGGAAATTTTATGCGAATCTATAGTACCAATTTCATCAAGTCATTCCTCTTCTCAGAAATTTCCAAAAATTTTATCTATTCAAGTAATAGGGACAGCTAGGTGGCTCAGTAGAGAGAGTGCCAGGCCTGGAGTCATAAAGACCTGAGTCCAAATCCAGCCTCGGACAATTCTAGCTGTGTGACCCTAGGCAAGTCACTTCATCCTGTTTGCCTCAGTTTCCTCATCTGTAAAATGAGCTGGAGAAGGAAATGGCAAACCATTCCAGTGTCTTTGCCAAGAAAACCCTAAATGAGGACATGAAGAGTCAGACATGACTGAAATGACTGAACAACAACAAAAATTCAAGTATTATTATTTATATCACTTTGGCATTTACCTACTTTAGTTTTTTTTAATATATTGTATCTCCCAAATGAGACTGTAAGTTCACAGAGAGGAGGGACCATAACTTATATTTATTTTTCACACCCATGGGGACCAAGTCCAGTGTTATTCATATTTTGGGCACTCAATAAATGCTTTTTAAAAGAATTAACAAGGGACAGCTAGGTGGCACAGTGGATAGAGCACTAGCCCTGGAGTCAGGAGGACCTGAGTTCAAATCCAACCTCAGACACATGCTACTCACTAGCTGTGTGACCCTGGGCAAGTCACTTAATGCCGATTGCCTTGCAAAAAAAAAAAGAATTAACAAATGAATTAACCAAATCCCATCTGTATTCCCCCATTTCATCTTACCCTAATTCTTTCCAAAAGATGGCACTAGAGGACTTTTATTTCATGAGTACAAATATATCTCTTAAAAGTAACAGGTACATAAAAAAAGGCTTAGTGAAAGCATTCCTGAAATGTCTATTTAAGTGTGTTTCATTACTAATGATTATTTCAGTGCAGGGTGTAACTGGTGCCAGTCACCAAGGTCAGTTATATTAAGAATAGAAATGAACAGCCTAAGCCCTGGGCATAAAAGGGTTTTCAGCTTAGCAGGTTAGGAACCTGCCCCAGCACCCCAGAGGAATGTTATCAGATACAGTGAAGGTGGCCAACAAGAATCAACATGACAGGATTGCTTGTACTCCAGTAATTTAATGAGCAACAAAGTGGATGTATTCTGTTCAGACACCACAAGCCAAGACAAGTCTTTCAGTTGCTATATTTAAAGAATCAGAATGGGAAAAAATAGTAGGTCTCTAGTATGCTTTTAACATAATGAAATAATTCCTAAAAGATAAAATCATTTAAGTTGTTTGCAGATATTTCATATAAAATGATCACTCTGTATAGTGGATGTGTAAGTTCCAAGGACCAAGTTTTCACTCTGTCTTTTCACAGTGCCTCATGCAATGCTTGGTCCAGAGGAAGTGTTTAATAAATTACTGCATAAATGAATGTATATATTTTATTATTTCCCCAATCTGTTACTTTTTATGCTACTGACTAGAATTGAAATCTCATTAGTTAGTCATTTCCCAGAATTATAGCATAGGACAGAAGGGACACATGGGAGACTCTCTAAAGATGTCCATCATTTTACCTCCAAGTAAAACCACCAGGGAACCATTCCAGAAAGATTTTTTTTAAAGTTCCTATTCTGAAAAACCATAAGGTTCAATAAACTTCACTGTTAGGAAATTCAATCTTATGTTTAAACTTAATATTCCATGCTAATGTCTTTGTATCATCATATTTCAGAACCAGGGGGGAAAGCTGAGGTCATTTATCTCCACCACTTCATTTTAGCAATGAGGAAACTGAGGCAGAGGGTGGTCAAATGATGCCAAACACCTGCTTAGCAGCAGCACTAGGAACCCAGTCCAATGGCTTGTTATACTCTCTTTCACCATCTTCTTTTAATTATTTCTGGCCCTTCCCTTTACTCTTTATGTTCTCCTGAGCTCCTCTTTAAATATAAAGGTCGGAACTAGTTACAGAACTCTAAAAAGGGCTAACCCAAGATTGAGTATCATGAGAGACATATACCTCAGTTTCTTGACAGTTAACAATACTTTTAAGTATCAACTTAATTCAATGCAATAAGCAAACACACCCTTATTTAGCACCTACATATGTGCAAAGACAATGTGCTAGGTGAGGAAAGTAAAATAAAAATTAAAATAGTCCCTGATCTTAAAGAACCTGCATTCTACTGGAAGGGGAGGGAGATAGGAATATATAGATATAATTAAATTAAAAACTATATGCAAAGTAAATATGGAGAAATTTCAGGGTTAGGGCAAGTTAGTTCTTGAAGAACTGAAGAAACCAGGAAAAATCTTCTATAAGAGGTGGCAGTTGAAATGAACCTTGAAGAGAGCTAGGGATTCCCAAGGACACAGGTGAGGAGGTAAAACATTGCAAGTATGGGAGATGGCCTGGGCAGAGCCCTAGAATTAGGAGATGGAATGGGATTTATGGTGGATAGCAAAAAGGCCAATTTTACTCAATTATAGAACACAAAATAAGCAAGACAATTTAGAGCAGAGTGGACTTATGATTTCCCTGACACAGGGAGTTCCTATAAAATAACTTCTTCAACCAATACAGGTTAGAACCTTCCCTGGGATTTACAGTCTCATCCATTTGCCTAGAGCACTGAAAGGTTCATTGATTTTACCACAGTTACATAGCAGTAAGGGACAGAGATGGGATTTGAACCCAGTTCTTTGTGTCTTCAAGGCCAGATCTCTTTCCTGTGCCACACAGGCCTCTCCAAAAAGGTGATATAAATTAAATAATACTAGCTAGCATTTTATATAGTGCCTTAAGCATTTGCCTTCTACTTTGCAAAGTACTTTACATATGTTATCTCATTTGGTATTCGCAATAACTCTGTGATGTAAGGGCAGTTATCCCAGTTTTACAGAGGAAGAAAATGAGACTGAAACAGATTCCATCATTTGGCCCAGCACACAGCTAGTAAGTGTCTGAGAAAGAATTTGAACTTGGGTCTGCCAAATTCCAAGTTGAGCTCTTTAGCTGTTGTGTTACTTAGCTGCTTCACTTCAAGACTGCAAAGTACCAGATATATATTATCTCACTGGCTCCTTAATACAATTTTGTGAGGATTTGAAATTTAAGGAAGGCTAGAGTCTGACTGTAGGAGGCTTTAAATGATGGGCACCTGCATTTTGTTCTAGAGATAAAAGGGAGTCAGTTAAAATTTTGGAATAGGGGAGAGATATAGTCAGCCCTGTACCATATAATGATTGTTTGGCAATTGTGTGGAAGATAGATTGGGAAGAAGAAAATCAGTAAGAGGCAAAGGTATACTTGGAGGTAATTCTAATAACCTATGCTAGAGGTGTGGAAATCTGAACTAAAGCAGTGGTCATGTAGTGATTACTAGGAGGTTTATGTTAAAGATACTGCAGAATTAACAATAACTGAAGACTGATTGAATATGTGGGATGAGGGAGAGATAAAAGTTAAGACTCTGAGGTTGCAAACCTGAGTAACTACAAGTATGACTGTGATTGATCTCAGCAGAAATAGTTCATTTCACGGACTATGCAAGGTAGCAAGCTATCACTGATGTTGTTTTTGTTATTCACAAAAACTCCAGCTCTTTTCCTTCCTTCTCTATATATAGCCAACCATTTTCTATCCTATAATTGCATAGGCTGTATTTTCTATAAGTGGCTAGGCTGCATGGAAAGAGTTTTGGGCCTGGAGTCAAATCCTGCCCTTTGTGTTTACCAGTAGAGTAGCTGTGGACAAGGCATCTAACCTCTTAGAGTCTCAGTTTCTTAGATTGCAAAATGGTGATAATAACATCCATAGTACTTGGCCACATAGGTTTGTTGTGAGACTATGCTGGTGGTTGTGAGCATATACCTTTACTAAAGGGCCTTGGAAAACTCAATCAGTTAAATGTCTGGCATAATTGTTCCTATTTCTCACTCCCTGACAGGATTCCCAAACTCTATCACATGCAAAAATAACAACTTAAGACATTAAAAAAAAAAACAAGGAAATGTCGAAAGAATAAAGTCGTACCTGCAAACATCAATTCTGAAACATCAGGTTTCACATGGAGACAGGTAAAGAGGGGCAAAGGACACTGCGCCTTATTTACTTTTTCTTTCAAACTACTGAGAGTACAACTCATTCTCTGCTCAAAGAAAAATAAGAGACAAGGGTTAAATATAATGGTTGTCATTTATGTAGCACTTTAAGCTTTGCAAAATGTTTTTGCAAATCTCATTTGATTTTTCCATCCCATTTTACAGAAGAGGAAAGAGACTTAGGGAAGATAGTGACTTGCTCAAAATTAGAGTCGATATAAACATCTGAGGTGGGATTTGAACCTAGGTTTCCCTGACTCCAAGTCTAATACACTATTCACTAATCCATGCTACCTCTTTAACAGGCCATTAGCATCAGTGAGAGATGTTTCTAAATTGTTTTGAACCTGCATAATAAAAAGTATGTTCATTACTTTTAGAAATCTATGTAAACAAAATGAAAGGCAGACTGCATGAAGTAATTCTGCATTTTAAAAACAGTCTAGGAAGTTACGTCTTCAATTGAACTGCCAATTATGGGATCAGGAAGGAACTTTCCCTCAGGACACCTTGGCACTCCATCTTCTCTGTTTTATCTTAAGAAGGAATGCTGAGCTGTGGTCATCAGTCAGGTGGGTGTGCTCCATGTGGTCCATTCCCTGAGATTGAGGGCAACATCCCCTGGCAATCCTGGATCCTTCCTGTCGTGTGTGTGTGTGTGTGTGTGTGTGTGTGTGTGTGTGTGTGTGTGTGTGTGT